ACTTTTTCACGGCGACGCTGGGGAAGATCAAAAGGCATGCCCCTATCATGTGATATAGGGCTATTATATAATTGGTCAATTATCAAATTAAAGCCTACTATTGCTAATTACGATAATATATATATAGAGAGGCATGCCCTTCGCAAAGGCATGCCCCAGGGGCATGCCCCAAAAATTTGCCGTGCCCCCACCCTAATAGGAAACCACCTTTAGTGCACTAACAAAAAAAATTCCTTGAACGATTTTATTAATATACCCCCACTAACATCTAACCATAATATACTGCTAAAACACGAATTTTAAGAATTTTTATCGGTGTCACGTGACTACAACTTTTTGGTGGCGATATGGGGAAGATCAATCAGAATTTTGATGAAGCAAAGCAAAAAACAAAAACGAAAAACCTAAAAAATAAAAAAAAACGGCAGTCTAAACCTACCTCGGGTAAGTTAAGTAAAAATGTTGGGAAGGCAATTTTGCTTCTAACCTAACCTTAATATAAGATGACCCTTAAAGTTAATTGAGTTGCCCCCGTTTTTAGACGTCCCCTATATTTGGTAACTAAAATTTAATTTTGGGGATCAAATGCTTGGATTTGGTGACCAATTGTCTGCTTAATTCCGCAAATGCGCCGTAATAATATCTTGACAGTGGTAGATGCTTCATAAGTTATAATAGACCAGTGTTTATACAAATAGAAACATGGGCAGTTTTACCAAATCTCAAATTCGACCTGACTACTATCAAATACTAGAAATTTCACCTTCTGCACCACAAGCAGAGATTAGAAAAGCTTATAGAAAATTAGCGTTGAAATATCATCCCGACAAAAATGCAAATCAATGTGCTATTGTGCCGAACTCTTCTAATAAACGTAATACGCTTAACGAACACTTTATTTCAATCAATGAGGCTTATAATATTCTCTCAAATGAAGAATCTAGAGCTAATTATGATATTCAACGCCTCACTGGTAATTCAACTTTAAATGACGAGTCCTCTAGTACATTAGAGTATATGCATAAGCTATTTCGTGAAATCATGTCATACAAAGAAACTATTTCAGAGCTTTCTAATTCATTTATGACTCGTTCAGTCGAGCTAGGTTGGGTTGCAGTTAATACTGAAGAACAGCTTTTTAGCACATATGAAAGGGAAATATCTTTAATAGAATCAAGCATTCTTGTTGATCATGAAGAATCTTCTACGCCACCTTTTATTGATGCTAATCAATATGATAATGACATTTCCGTCAATTATCTTCCTGAAGATGACATTATTCAAATCCTAGAAAATCCTCAATGGATAGTTATTGATAAAGAAACTTTAGTTCGCAGCCATCAACTTTCAGATTTTATTGAATCACAAAATTTACTTACTAAATCAATTTCAGATATAATTTCACCATTAATGATGGCTTGTTCTTACGGCACGTGGAGTTATGAAAGCAAAGTGGAAACATTGGTCCGAATTAAATCATTACAGTCAAAGATTATACAATATTTAGAATTTATGAACCAAAAGATAAAAACAGATGAACAAGCTTTTGATTCCATCATTAATAAAGTTATTATTAATCTTTTTTCTAAATGCTTATTATTGTAATTGCAAATTGTGACCTTGATTGTGTTTTATGTTTTAGATAAAAACAAATAATATTCAAGAACAAATCATAAGCTTAATCAAACATCCTATCATGAATAAAATGTCTGGTGGTAAGTTTGGACAGAATGGGCATCCAATATGGAATGTAGCTGCACTCATAGGGCCACCATTTGCTGGATATTCACTCTACTGGTTTGTTTGTTGATCTTTTATTTAAACATACGTATGAGAAATTACGTTCAATCTGACTAATTTATTTTCATTTAGGTCCATCCTTTGCCTTATTATTTTAGGTGCAGTAACCGTTCATTTCAACGAAGGAGATTTAGAAAGTTTTAAGCAATTTCTGGATTTGTTTGAAAACATTGTTGCATTGTTTGATAAAATTAAAGCGTAAATAGTTTGATATTTCAAATTACAGAATATATAGTATAATTTATGCAAATACATAACAAGTCTATAAATACAGTATATACAAATTAACAGCAATTTCCTAAAATAATTTTCGTTAACAATTTTAGGTAATGGAGAGACCTACTATCTGGGAGTTGTAATTATTCTATCCTACAGTATATAGTAATTTATATATATATATATATATATATAGTATATAATATTTATTAAATTTAGTAATTTGACGTAATAGATATTAAAATATACAATATAGAATGTCAAATCATTAACCGCTAACTTTATGTAGGTGGTTTGGTAAGGTAGATATACCTAATTTGACGCAGTTCCTAATTTGACGCACAATGATATCTTGTGAACCATCGATCAGAATCATATGATTTTGGTACCAATCGATTCGTCTCATCGAGACGAATTAAACGGTACCAAAATCATGCGATTCTGATTATTAGTTCTTGAGATACACCATTTGGCCAAAATAGCCCAAGACAGATGTACCTAATTTGACGAAGGTAAACGTTTACGATCGATATCACATGCTATATCGATCAAAATTGCAAGATTTTGGTACCATTCGATTCGTCTCGATGAGATGAATTGAATGATACCAAAATCTTGCAATTTTGATCGATATATCATGTGATATCGATCGTAAACGTTTACCTGCGTCAAATTAGGCACTGCATAAGAACATATTTTTTAGACAAACTTCAATGAACGATATCTCGTGATCCAGTGATTAGAATTAGATGATTTTGGTACCATTCGATTCGTCTCAATGAGACGAATCGAATGGTACTGAAATCATCTAGCTCTGATCGATGTATCTATCGTAAACGTTACCTGCGTCAAAATAGGAGTACTTACCTTATGTAACTTTATCGGACAACCTACGGACTCCGGACAGTGCATGGAGTCTGGAGACAGAACTACCCACCAAAATGAACTACCCCAACAACACCCCGAAAAAAATTAAAAACAACCGTTCTTTTTACCAATAATCGCCCATAACTCAAAAATCTACATAGGAAACCATCTTTAGTGTTTTAACAAAAAGTTTTTCTTGAGCGATTTTACTATATATTACAACAATAACAAACACTAATATAATCACTAACCCAGTATTAACAACCTTTTAAGAGGTTTATTATCGCAGAATTTTCGGGGTGTTGTTGGGGTAGTTACCAAAATGTTACTTTCACGTGACGATCTACATCAGATTAGCCAGTCAATTTTGTCAAAAAATCGTTTAAAACGCTAACCCTAACATAAGGTTTTTTTTCAGTGGTGGCGATACTGGGGAAGATCAGGAGACAGAACTACCCCAGCATCGCCACAAAAATTCTACTATCACGTGACGATCGACAGTAAGTTACACGATCAGGAAGATCAAAACAAACGTTCGCTTTTTTCAAAAATTGCTTATTTCTCGAAAGTAGCATAAGAAACCACCTTTTGCGATCTAATTAAACTTTAACGTAATCACTAACCCTAACCTTAAGAAATTTTTGTACGATCACGTGACAGTAGAATTTTTGTGGCGCTGCTGGG